GCTGCCCCTGTCATTTAGATACATAGTCTGCATAAATGTTACCGTTTTAAGCCATCGGTAGCTTGCCAGCAACCACAGCCGTGGTAAATGATGTGACCATATGAGAAAGAAGAATGGATTGAGGTTATTCCCCTTTATTCGGCACTGGCGAGGCCACATCTGGACTCCTGTGTCCAATTCTGGGCCCCCCACTATGGAAAGGACGTGGATGCATGGGAGAGGGTCCAGCGGAGGGCAACCAAAAAGAGGGGCTGGAGCGCATGACCTACGAGGAGAGGCTGAGGGAGTTGGGTTTGTTTGGTCTGCAGAAGCGTAGAGTGAGGGAGGATTTGAGAGCAGCCAGAGGAAGGGAAGACATTTTAGTGCACATATAGCTTCCTATATTTCCCCCCCACACACACTTTTGCCACAGAAAAACTGTCATGATTTCTGGATGTAAGAGAGATCCTATCTGGGAATATTTTGAAGAAATTAATTCCCTTGGTTCAAAAGGAAAACTATGTCAAGTGTGAGCAAAGGCAAGATGATGTATGGCCTTGTTGCAAGAAGAAACATCATAAGGAAAACTGCTCATGGGGAGAAAATTCATGTGGATGAAGATACGGATATGTCCAAAGAACAATGTGGATCAACTGGTTAGTAACTTATTCCCTTCACTCTAGTGGGATGGGTTGCCATTAGGACCCACTTTTTACCTAGCTAGCTTTTTTGGGGAGTGGAGGGGAGTGGGTGGAAGAGTTTGTTCTTGTTTTCAATTTGTCCGTGAAATCGATCAGTTTCAATGGATTTTTTTGGTTTGCGTTTTGAAAGTCTGGCTCAACTTTTTAACCTAGACAGCTGTTTTGGGGGGGTGGAAGAATTTATTTTTGTTTTCCATTTGTCCGTGAAATAGATCAGTTTTAATGGCTTTTGTGTGTGCGTGTTTTGAAAGTTTGGCTCAACTTTCCCAGCTTTTTGGGGGGATGGAAGGGAGGGGTGGAAGAGTTTGATTTTTGTTTTCAATTTGGCCATGAAATTGATCAAAAACGTCTTTGCATACGGGCATCCCCCGCAGATATATCCATTGTGACAAAAACAGTCACTTTCCGTGGGGTAGGGTGGGATGGGAAATCAGTGGATACTGGAGCAGCTTTAGTACAAAGAGCACAGAAACAAATACAGCCACCACAAACTGCCGCCTCAGAAGGAAATGCCAAGAAAGCCACTGAAATGTTTGGAAAGGCTGCCTCCAGTAGCAGAATTTCAATCCCTTTCTTCATAGATACATTTATTTTTCACAACAGAAACAGTCCAACATGCTTCCTAGCCCAAGTAAAATATCTCCTTCACTGCTTCTGCCTACATAACAGGTGTCTTCCACTAGGGTGGCACTGAGGGTGTGTCTACACTACCCCGCTTTTAGTGACAAAGATGTGTTGACACAGCCCTGTTGCTAAAAGTCGGCATGTGTGAATGCTTTTTATCAGCACTTCTGCTGACAAAACACTTACACCTCCAATGAGTGGGTTTCACTTCATCAGCAGGAGAGTGCTCCTGATAACAAAGCAGCATTCACACTTGCACTTGCCACGGCAAAACGTTGTTTACAAGGAGGTATTTTTAAGCACTGGTGAATGACAAAATTTTTGTCCAGAATGGGCAGACATAGCCTGAGAATCCCCTTCTAAATCCTTACCCCTAAACCTGGGCCTCTTCCAGGTTTCACCTCAAAATGGGCTGCTTTCTGGGCTTTGATTTGAGGATATGGGCTGCCAACTCCAAATGAAGCTCTTGTGCGACATTTTCCCCCCAACATGCGGTAATGGTATTTTTCTAAAATAGCCTATTAAAATCTCCAGGAATGCTTTCAATAGTCACTGGGAGGTTGATGACAATTCCCGGAGACTCCAGGCCAGTCCTGTAGGGTTGGCAACCTTATCTGAGGACCAGGTAACTTGATGGCTATCACCAGTCCCGGGCCTTAGACCTATCATCTAGCTTAGTCTCAGGCTCTGTCTAGACTGCAGGCTTCGGGGAGAACTCTGTCTAGACTGCTGGCTTCTTTTGGAAGAAGCTTTTCCAGAAGAGATCTTCCGAAAAAACTTCCAAAAGAGCGTCCACACTGAGAAAGCGCATCGAAAAAGCAGATGGCTTTTTCGAAAGAGAGTGTCCTCACTGAATGGACGCTATCTTGCATGTAAGCTGTGATTACTATGGGTGGAGTGGCCATCAAGGCACCTGTGCTTTTTCCTCTTCTTGCGAAAGAACTCCCTCTTCCCCGTCCACATACGCCTTATTCCGAAAGAGCTTTTTTGCAAAAAGCCTTCTTTCTCATAGACTGAGGATTACCAATGCCAGAAAAACCCCTCTGTTCTTCCAATTTTCTTTTGAAAGGACATGATTGCAGTGTGAATGTAACTCCCATTTTTCCGAAAAAACTCTGTTGTGTAGACATACCCTCAGTAGTTTATAGAACACATATTGTTTATTACTCATACACTCTCCCCATTCAAATAACACATGTATGCAGAGTTGTTGCTGTAGGTCCCAGGATATTAGACAGATAAGTTGAGTGAGGTATTATCTTTTAATGGCCCAACTTCTCTTGCGCTACGTCTAGACTGCAAGCCTCTTTCAAAAGAGGCTTTTTTGAAAGATACTTTCGAAAAAGCCTCTTTCGAAAAAGAGCGTCTAGACTGCAAGCCGCTTTTTTGAAAGAGAGCACCCAGGAAGTCTGGATGCTCTTTTTTGAAAAAGCCGTTTGCATTCAAGAACGCCTTTTTTCGAAAGTATCAGAGGGGTAGCCGTGTTAGTCTGAATCACATGCATCTGACGAAGTGGGTCTTTGCCCACGAAAGCTTATGCTCCTACACTTCGGTTAGTCTCTAAGGTGCCACTTTTTTCGAAAGAGCACTTTCGAAAAAAGGCGTTCTTCCTCGTGAAATGAGGAGTACTGCTGTCGAAAGAAAAGCCGCGTTCTTTCGATTTAATTTCGAAAGAATGCGGCTGTAGTGTAGACGCAGGTGAAGTTTTTTTGAAAAAAGGCTACTTTTTTCGAAAAAACCCTGCAGTCTAGACACAGCCTTGATGAGAAAGACAAACTCTTGAGCTGACACAAACCTGAAGAAATTCTTTATGTACAATTGCACGTTTAAAAGTCTCCCAGGGGGAGCCATG